GCCCGGGGCCGCCGGCCTCCCGCCTCCGGAGCGTACCTGCGGCCCGGGGACGCGGGCTCCTGCTTGAGGATGGGGAAGAGCGGCTCGCTCTCCACGCCCTGCTCCTGCTTCAGCTTGTACAGCTTCTGCCGCAGCACGTCCTGGTGGCGCTCGCGCAGCCTGCGGGGTACGCACAGGGCTCGGCTCGTGGGGCGGCCCGCACCCCCCCCCCGCCCCAGGCTGTGGGGCCTCAGGGCCCTGTGACGGGGAGGGGCGGCTGGCCCGACCCTGGGCACTTTGGGGGGAGGGCCCTGACCCAAAGAGCCTGGGGCCTGCCAGAGGGTGGGGCGGCTCCCAGCAGGACGTGAGCCCGACAGGACTTAAGAGGCTTGTAGGAAAGGACAATGGCCGGCCGGCTGGGCTCAGCACTGTTTACTGGCCGCTGCCAAGCACGCGGGGAATCTGTACACAGCCGGCCCTGCGAGGGAGCCTGGCCGCCTTGAGGGAGAGGCCCAGGGGCGGAGCCGGGCGTCGGCAGGCGGGGCCTGGAGCCATGTGGGCGGGGCCCAGGGGCGGAGCCGGGCATCGGTGGGCGGGGCCTGGAGCCCTGTGGGCGGGGCCCCAGGGGTGGAGCCGGATGTAGATGGGCGGGGCCTGGAGCCCTGCAGGCGGGGCCCAGGGGTGGAGCCGGGCGTCGGAGGGCAGGGCCTGGAGCCCTGTGGGTGGGCCCGGGGAACCTGGGGCGAGGTCGGGCAGGGCCAGGGGCGGGGCCCGGAGCCCTGTGGGCGGGGCCCGGGGAACTGGGGGGCAAGGCTCACCTGGCCCGGGCCATGTGCGCGCGCAGCTGCTGCAGCAGGCTCTCCCAGTAGCCCATGTCCAGGTTGGGGCCGCCCGCGCGGATCTTGCCCTCGATGCCCTGGAAGATGACCTGCAGCTGGTTGTAGGTCTTGCCCTTGAACACGGACTGCACGTCCGAGCTGACGGAGGCGTTCACGCCCTCGCGGTGCTCGCCTGCATGGAGCGGGGCCACTCAGCACGGGGGCTCCCGGGCTCCCCTCACACTATCTCCACCCCGGTCTCTATGCTAGAGACAACACAGACCCTGGCCAAGAGCCAAGTCAAATGCTGAGGCCGGGGCCTGGAAGGCGGGCTTGGCTTTGGCTTCTCTCTAGAAGCGGGTGACACTGCGGGGCTGTCGGGGGCTCACTGGGACTCCCCTCCCAGTGGGGGCTGTGTTACACAGAAAGGATACCAGGGAGCCAGTGCTCCCCTGGTTAGGCAGGGGAGCCTGGGCGGCCTCAAATGCCTACCACAGCCCTGCTGGAACACTCCTTTCTACTCTGGTGAAGTTAGATACAGTGGGTCACCAGTCCCTGGAGGCTGGAGGCCAGGGGTGTGGGTGAACCCCAGGGCAACAGTGGCTCACTGCTGACCTCTAGTGGCCGGCCCTTCTCTGCACACCGCAGACAGGAAAACACCAATACATGGCCAGGGCGGCTCTGATAGCCCAGCTAGATGGGAGGGGACAGGGACACGCATTACCTGGCCCCTTGCCCGAGGCCTCCAGCTTGCGGAGCTTGGAGATCTCGTCCTCAGTGATGATGGTCATGTCACGCCAGAAGTCCACGTTCTTGCCCTGCTCCAGCTCCATGTATACCTAGGTGGGTGGGGCGCAGGGCAGGTGAGGTGGATGGGGGGGGGCGTTGCGGGGTCCTGGGGAGGGGCAGGGCTGGGAGGTACCTGTATGTCCTCCAGCAGGTCCTCCATGTCAGCCACCGTGAGGCCGTTGAGGAAGGTGTACGGCTCGTGCATCTCCACGGCCAGGTCGTCGTCCTCGGCGCTGATGTACTTGGCCAAGAGGTCGATGGGCTTGGCCCGCCCGTCCCGGATGCGGATCTTGGAGCTGCCAGGCACAAGGGTGGCACTGTCAGGGTGTGTGTGTGTGTGCCCTGCTCTTTTGGGGCAACGCACTGTGGGGGCAGGGCAGGGCAGCCATGGGTAGTGAGGAGAGCTTTTGGAGGAGCATGGACCAGAGTGTGGGGGCAGGGGAGGGCCGTTGTCTGCACTGTGGCAGGGGCTTTCTGGGGTGCTCCACTCGGTGCCCAGGGGGACACGTGCAACCTGACCCTGGCCCTCGTCCACACAGGTGGAAGGAGAAGCCTCAGAAGTGAGGCGGGAGGGAGGAGGGACAGAGCATCTGAGCAGTGGGAGGTGGGGTGCAGCACACAGTGCTGGCGGGGTGAGGGGCGGGCATGGGTGTGGTGGGAGGGAGGGGGGGTGCGGGGCGGGCATGGGTGTGGTGGGAGGGGGTCGGCGAGGGCGCACCGCAGCTTGGCCTGCTGCAGGTGGAAGTGGTCCTCCTGCTCCTCCCAGGTCTTGAAGTGCTCGGCCTCCTTCTCCCGCTGCAGCATCTCCAGCTCCTGCTCCCGCATGGCCTTTTCCCGCTCCCGCTCCAGCCGCAGCTGCTTCACCTGGGAGGCACTGGTGTGAGGAGCTGCTGGGGCACACCCCACTGCCTTCTCCGGCCCTGGCTCACCTGCCCTGGGCACAGGAGTGCTGGCGTGGGGGACAGACACTCTTCCTGTGGGAGGCCCAGCAGTCGGGCCAGACTACTAGTGGCCAGGGCAGCATGGCAGGGGGCGAGGGGGAGCGGGGGCCTCACCTTTTGCAGCTCCAGCCGGTTGTCCTCTTGGATCCTTTTGTTGCGCTCCTTCAGCTCCTTCTCTTCCAGGTGGCTGATCCCTTTCTTCTCCAGGGCCTGAAGACAGTCTAACCTGAGCACATACGCTGCCTGCGCCTCCCAGCACCGCCACCCAGGGAGCCTCTGGCCCAGGCACAGAGAAGGAGATGTCCTCTCCTCCCGGGACACGGCACACAGGGGCAGCCCCCAGCGGGAGCGGGCCTGCCAGCAGCAAGCGTGGCGCTCCTCAGACTCATTTCACAGGAGTCTGGCTAAGTCGGCAGCGTGAGGCGACCTCAGCCTGAGTCGCTGGCTGTGCTGTGTGAGGGACCCAGGAGACTCAGAATACAGGGTCATCTAGGGACAATCTCCCACACTCGGTCCTGAGAGGCACTGTGAGACTCTGTGTCACCTCATCTGGTGTCGGGTGTGAGGGTGCAGGTACTGCACAGGTCGTACCCTGGCCACCCCAGACCCTCATGTCACCCAGCAGTGACTCCTCCCCCCCCAGTTCCCTCAGGGACAGTTGAGGCTGGCCTTGCTCAGTGCCCACCAGCACACATACAGGTGTTCAAGGTGTGTCTGGGGAATCCAGGGCTGACAAGCCTGGCCTGGAGAAAGACCTGGCAAGGACCCACAGGTGAGGGGCGGATCAGCAGTGTTTCAAGGACACAAAAGAACAGCCGGGTGCCAGGGTCCTGGGGTGGGAAAAGCTCTGGTGACCCCGGGGTCCTCCTAGCTCTGAAGTCTCGGCCCCATGGAGAAGCCTTGCACCCCCTCCACTCTTCCATCGCGGGGCACTGCAGTGGGCCAAGCTACAAACATGCATGTCCTCACCCAAGGCCGTGAGGAGGGGTAAGGGTGAGAGAGGGGTGGGGTGGGCGGGGCCTCCGACCCCAGGCGGAGCCTTCGGAAGAGATGGACACTGGGACAAGAGAAGGACGTGTGAAGACAGGCTCAGAAGGGGGTGGGGCAGCCCTAAGACAAGGATGTAAGGGTCTGCTGGCCCAGGAGGGAGGGGACAGGCTTTCCCCGCGCGTGGGGGAGAGAACGTGGCCTGGGCCGGGCCTGCAGGGGTGTGCACTGTGTGGCGCACAGGACACAGGCACTCCAGATGCTCCACAGTCAACTTGGGGGGCTGGGCTGGCTCACACAGACGCACCCAAGCTGGGGGGGGGAGTGGTGTGCGCGCACGCGCAGCAGCGCTGGCCCCCGGGCGGGCTCACCTTGTTCCAGATGAAGGTGCCCAGCAGGTTGTTGTCGCCGAAGGGGTTGTCGGTGTTGGTGTAGCCCATGTACTCCTCGCCCCAGCCCATCTTCTCGCGCTTCTTGCGCTCCTTGGCCTCCTTCTTGGCCAGGCGGCGCGCGCGCTTCTCCTCGGGCGTCTCGAAGGCCTTGAGCAGCTCCTCCTGCTGCCGCCGCTCCTCGCGCCGCCGCAGCCGCTCCTGCAGCCGCTGCT